GTGCTCTCTCTCATTCTCTCTCTCTCAAATAAATAAATAAAATCTTTAAAAAAAATAAAAATAAAAAAATATTGAATAAAGATGAATATTCAATAAAGTTCAATGAAAATTCACGTTCGTCACATGCAGATGTGACTTGCATTTGCAGAATGAACTGCAAGCATTGCTGAGGGTGTGGGGAGATAGGAATCCCTCTTATCTAGACAAAAACCTGCCAGTTCTTGGTGCAATTGATTAAGAGTAGGACTTTTGGTCCAATGGTCTCACTCCTGTGAATATTCCAGAGAAGTCTTCTATAGGCACATAAGGCGCATGCCCCCAAATAGTCATTGCACTATGGCTTGGGTAGTGGAGGGAACCTAGGCGTCCATCATTAAAGAACTGGGTCCTTAAACGGGGTCGTGGTGGATATATAGGGTGAGGTGGTGCTTCTCCAACTTTAATATGTATTGTGTCCCCTGAGGATCCTATTAAAATGCAGATTCTGGTTCATTTGGCCAGGGGTGGGGCCCAAGACTCTGACCTCTACTAAACTCCAGGTAATTCCAATGCTGCTGTTCCCTAGACCACACTTTGAGAAGCAAGGGTATAGACTAGAGTAGTGTTCGCCAATAGAACTTTGTGTGATGGTGAAAATATTCTATTTATCTGCACTGTCCAAAATGGCAGCCGCTAGCCACGTACAGTTATTGAGCACTGGGAATGTGGCGAGAGCAGCTAAGAAATGGAATCTTAACATGTGTTAAATTTAGCTAATTTTAATTAAAAATTAAAGGACCACGTGTGGCTAATGGCTACCATATTGGACAGCAACCATATTGGACAGTACAGATGGAGAACACTCTGTAGCAGTGAGAAGCAATAAACTAAATGAGCAAACAGAACATGGAGACAGTGTTTGGTGGAATAAGATCCCGTATTTTATACCTCAACTTTGGGGCACCTGGCTGGCTTAGTCGGTAGAGCATGTGACTCTGATCTCAGGGTTGTGAGTTCGAGCCCCATGTTGGGCGCAGAGCCAACTTACAAAAAATACCTCAACCTGGGGCGCCTGGGTGGCTCAGTTGGTTAAGCATCTGCCTTCGGCTCAGGTCATGATCCTGGAGTCCCGGGATCGAGTCCCGCATCGGGCTCCC